CTATAGGATAACCGGGTGAGTCGGGACTTAAAAAATTAGACATTAGATAGTATATTGCTAAATAATAGTGTTTTTTTATGAAAAACAAATCTAAATAAAGTCACGGCATGATTGCTGAATTTTAAAAAAAAAATAATCTATATTGTGAGTAGGCTTTAAGAATTAATAATCTATATTACGTGTAGGCTTTATTTTAAAATATTAACTTTAAATATTAACTCTATTTTATATAGTTAGATATTTAAGTAGATATATACTAGAAATAGAATTTGTACAATGTATAATATAGTGTATGGTTTATAGGCAAGTTAATATATGTGTACAATTCTCAGTACTTGATTGGTTCATGTAACTCTATTCATCACATATTGTTATGTGCTGCTTATTTTTTGCATACCATTTCACACCTTATATTGGTGGCTTGACTATTGCACTTATATTTGTGCACATGAGCATATATTATGTCCCAATATTTAATATGACCAGTACTACATAATGAATAAAAACAAAACTCAAGACCATATTAATTTATAGATGTTATAATAAATAATAGTAAAAGAATATTTTTTTTAGCATAAATACTTATCTAATACCTTCAAATAGTTAGTGAGTATAAAGATGATTTATTAATATTAATCAGTAGAATTAAAATTATGAATATAAATATTTATTCATAAATACTTATTACTAAATATTTATTTACAATTAATTACCTAATATTCTTCAAATCATTTCTTCATTCGCATTAATTTAGCCTGTAAGTATAAAGATGATTTATTAGCATTGATCAGTGGAATTAAATATATGAATATAAATACTTATTCATAAATATTTGTCACCAAATACTTAATTACAATTAATTACCTAATACCCTTCAAATTATTTATTTCGTTTACATTAATTTAGCCCGTGAGTATAAAGATGATTTGTTAACGTTAATCAGTAGAATTAGAATTATGAAATACTTATTTGTAAATACTTAATTTAAATAGAGAAGAATTCACTTTGGATTAGGTACTGTTTCTGCTGTATAAGATATTTACCAATTGTTAGTGTCATTAGTATTTTCCCGTTTCTGGTTTCGCGCGACAACGTTGCACAGCTACTTATTTGTTTAAAGTCAGATAATGCGGTGTATGTGTGATGAGACATTCAGTGATTGACCAATTGCCGCTATGCTACACTGCACATAAAAACGGCGGGTCGGGTCGGGTCGGGTCGGGTCGGGTTTTGGATCAGACCCGACCCGAACTTGATAAAAAATTTTTATATCGGGTCGGGTCTGGGTCGGGTTCTAATTTGGGTTCGGGTCGGGTTTACTTGAACCCGACAACAACTAATAATTCATAACTCAAAAGCACTTACTCTTGTACTTCTCAATATTTGCAGTTCAAGTTTAAAAATCTTTAATATAATGGGTCTACATTATAGAGATTCACTCGAACAAATTTTTAAAACAATATATGAAAGATGTCATAGCATTATAGATTTTTTGATTATCGGATTTTCAAGTTGTTTAAATTACTTAGAAATTCTCTGGGTTCTAAATTTACAACATTTGATACTTTATCAGAATTATTTTGAAATTAATTTAATGAATATAAAATTGAGTCATTATTTAAAAAATCTGGTTAAATCTTTACCTAAATATATTAAAAAGGTTAAGATTTGGATAATATTAAATCCAAATTATGAAAATAAGTTAATTTTAGATAATTTGCGTTACTTTTTTAATAATCTTGATTTTAAAAACTCTTTTGCACTCTTAGAAATTGTACACCCATATCAAGTGTTTTCTAGGAGCGTTCATTTTGATAAAACTGGAAAACAGATTGAAATTGAGAGCAAAAATTTTATTTTTTAAGTTATATTAATGAACCTACTATAATGTAAATTTGTTTAAATTTATTTTTTTAGCTTAAAAATATTTCTTAACATATAAATACTGTAATATTTATTTGTTTCTTGTATTTAAAATTATTTTTTTCTTGTATTCAAAATTTTACGTTTGAATTTCTCTTTTGTGTTTTTCCTAGCATAACCATCAAAAAACTCTAGTTAACAATTATAAATAGGTGAGTTATATAGAAAGATGGCTTAAGGAAAACTTTTTTTTTTGGACATTAAGGTGAGTACTTAGCTCAATTTGTTTATTGCGAATTAAATTATCTGTTACTATTTTTACATTATAATTTCAAACTAATCTATATTACTAAATTAAGCTTAGGACTTATAGTACATTTATATGTGCTATCTATCCTTGTACAGAACCTACTAAAGTAGTCTATAGCCTACAACTATATATTACCTAGATTCCTATAACCTCTTTCTTTTCAAGTATGACTACTATACTGTATTCACTGTATCTCCCCATACTTCTTATAAATAACTCCCAAATTGATAACTGAGTGAGGCATTTGTAACCTCATGGCTACTTCCAATTTGGTGCAGTTTGGGTTGCCACAACAATGGTATTCTAAGATATGAACTCGCCCAAACGTAATGTCAGAGATAAGTTGTATATACACCAATTTCTGTTTATAGGTACTTCTGTATGTTGGTAGGGTCTAGGATATGTTTTGCAATATAAGTTGCTTTCAGCTATAGATTTCATAATACAGATGTACTACTACCATATAATTGGTGTTCTGAAGAACTGGTATACCTTTGTGTTTCATGTTACTACTACTAGCCTAGTGTATCATGCCATTTTGAGATTTTACAAATGTACCTTGAATTTTGATCTGCTCTCTACATTTGTAGTAATCTTACTTGATTAGGAGAATTATAGTTACCCTTATTGGTGTTCATACAACCTCAGTTCCTTTCATAGCTCTCCACTAGCTTTCACTTTAGATCTATCTAGATGTTTCACAGGTTAGATCCTCCCAAATCCAGTTAGCCACCATGCCAGATTGGTGTTGCTGATCAGTGGATCAGACTTACTCACATCTAGCCTATTCTGCATCTTTCTAGAAACTAAGTTTCATTTCAGATCAAGCGTTAACCGAATTAATTATCAAAGGCCATACTACTTCATCTACTCGGGATTTCTACTATGCAAGTCCCTCATGCCCGTATATTCTATCAAGATTTATTCGTGTAATGTTACATCTCCTCAAATACTTATCACACTACTAATATCCAGTAATTAGATATAACTTAACTTACAGGGTTACAACTCCCAGAAACAAGCAGGGTTTACTGTACCAATTAAGATTCAAGGTCTAGGTATAATTCAAATTTCGTCAACAGTAGAATTTGAACTCTAGACCTCTGCATGGTGGTCTAGCAACCTAACCACTACACTAAGATCGCTATATCTTCTTAAGAAAAACTTTTTGTTCGCTAAGTTCATGTTCTTTTAAAATGAAATATTTAAAATTATTCAGAGATTTGATCAAAATTCCTTTTTCATAATATGTTAATATATGAGAATACATTATAGACTATTGCAACTGTAAAAATTTGGTGTCTAAACATTGACTAATATTACTATTAGCTTTAAGAAATAGGCTTGAGAAAGCGTATAAATTGTATATATTAAATATTTATTCAATAAAAAGTACATAAACTTTTTTAATCATTAAATGTTTCGAAAATTTTATTGAATTGATAGTAACTTTTAAATAGTTTTATGATTCGAATATATTAAAAAAATTTAAAAAATTACTATTTGCGCAAAGATTAAAAATGTAAAGCATACCATAATCTTATATTATTTCTCTTAATGTATCAACTTCTTTATATAGTAATTCATTTTCACCTAAAATTCTTAGCATAACTTGATTATACTCTAGTTCTTTTGTTTTAAGACATGTTACTTCAGCTGAGTAATCAGAAATAAAATCTTTCACACTTTTCAAAATTTTTACTCTCAAAAGATTTTTGCTCAAATTGAGGATTTTAGTAATATTTTCGAATAATACTCTTTGACTTTCCTATCATTATGTTGAATTTTATTGTAAAGGTAAGCATCTCATTTTTTGTTTATCATTATTAGATTGAAAATTACTCGTAAAACATTAAACTGTAATAATCTATAAAATATCACAACTTACTTTTATAACTTATTATTAGAGATCATAATAATGCTACAAATTCCTAGCAATACAAAATCAAAGAATAGCATTATTTATTTACTTGTTTATTAATTCGAAGTCATATTTAGCTAAGAATTAAGCAATTCTGAATTAGAAAAACTTTAAATTGAAACCTTTCTAAAATGAATTATTGTTATCAACATTTTAGTAAATATAAATAATAAGGGGAACAAGTATATATCATTGAGATGTCAAATATTTGTTTATCTGGTTAATCATTAGTTTTACTAGTAAATTTTTTTATTTTCACAATTTGGTCTCTCAATTTTTGAACTCCTACGGCTCTCTATAGCTATAGAAATTCAAATAATTAAAAAACAATTTAATTAAAGTAAAAAAATATAATAACCCAAATCCGAAACATTTCAGAAGATAATAATTCTTTAGATTATGACAAAATAAAAAGCTTGTCAATAAAGTGATGAAGTGATCATTATTGCGAGATCAGATGATATGTAAATCATATGCAAGTTTATGTGTATCCTTTTATGGAGTAACTTGATTGAATCCAAGTATTTTAAGAGTAATACTGAGATAATATATGAATATTCCAAATTCATTTGTTTATGAATTGAGATTAAATAGTAATTACAATTGTAAGCTAAGGAATAATAAGGAGTTTTGTATGGGAATTGTAGCGTAAGTAGGAAGGGTTAATAATTAGTTAAGGGATGATATATTTAAATATTAATTCTTTGAATAGATTTTGTTTTATCTTTTTGTTCGCTATCGCTCAGCTAGTAGTTAGAGCTAGCTTCGTCACCCTCCCTATTCACCTAATTCAAGGTACTATAAGAAACCTTTCTTAAGCTTCGAGATTGCAGAAGTAATGCAAGGACTTAAACTAATAGGCTCTGTGACTGCAAAAGCAGTACAAGGACCTTATAATATGATTTCAGAAAATTGAGACCCTTAGAAGACAGATAAGTCAATACAGGGACTCCACAACTGCTCAGTAGTTCAAGAACGTATTTGGCTCCAAGACTGCAATAGCAATGCAAGGACCTAAATTTGTCAAAGGTTTCAGACTCCATGCCTATATTTGCAGTGCAAGGACTTTTGTCTTCAACTATTTGGCTCTATAGCTATGTTGCAGTGCAAGGACCTTACTTATGTTCAAGTTCTTTTCAAAATTAATTTGTTTCTCCAGTCAATTCTTGTCATAGCTATGAAAATTTTACAAAAAAACCCTAGAGTTTAGGGATTTACTATATTACTATTATAACTGAATAGTGTTTTAGTATTAGCGTTTTGACATAGTGAACCTATTCCTATATATTATTTCGTCTTTTATTATTAATAAAGTTTTCTAATCGAGCAATAATAATAGAAATTTTCCTTTTGTTAGTTTTAAAATTTCTCAAATACTGTATATTTCCTTTTGAAACTAAATAGCCTTTTTTTAAATATAAAGATTAAAGCCTCAACAAGGTAGAATAGTTATGGTAAAAAAAATATTATGACAAATATACTAACGTGTAAAATTTTAGCTTGTAATAAAACTTAAATTAGATTAATTCTTTTTATGATTATTCAAAAAAATTTCTGAAGTTATTAAAAGTCGAAGAGGTTAAGCAGAAATAAATGTGTATCAAATAGGTAGCCTCAATTCGTACTTACTATTTACAACTAGAAGTTTGTAGAATAGATGAAGAAATCAATATCCAAATATTGATATTTATAAAATTTTAAATGCTTAGAATTAGAACAATATTAATTTCAAAGAAAATATAAAAGCGAGAAACTTATTTTTTTTTTTTTTGTAATCTAATCTTGATCATAAGATTAATACTAGCTAAACTTTATAAATATAAGGAAAATGACCTTCTGAGCCTATATAGATTTTATGAATAAAATTTAAATTTACTAGTGAATAAACTTTTTTTTCTTAGTGAACTCTATAAAATAAAAAAATTTTATTCGAATTAGATTACTTGATCGCTGGTAAATTTAAATTTTATTTGTAAAATCCATATAGCCTCAGAAGGTTATTTTCCTAGCAAAGATCTTATAAAATTACATATTATGAAGATTTATTAACATTAATGCTTGCTAAACTTTGAGATAATCTCATGACAATAAATTGTGAAAATGTCTTCGTTCTTGACATTAGTAGTTTTCAGATGTATATATTATATTTACTATATTTTTATTTATTTTTTACTACGTATATAATTTTTACTATACTTTCAGCTACTTATTATATAAGGCAATTAGTAAATACCCACCAATTTTTGCTGAAATTTTAGTGCTTTAACTGCGAACTACCCCTTAAATAAAGAGCTAAAAATTCAATATCTTAACCTACTTAACCAAATTTAATAAAATTTTTTTTATTTGAATTCAAAATAAAAATTTTTTTATTAAATTTGGTTCTCTAATTATTTAAAAATTAAAATGCTACATGGAAGACCAATATTATGATGGCCAGAACCAACATACAAAATAGGCTTTAGACTCTTGCACAACTATGAAAACTAGGTATACAGCAAGCGATATTACAGAAGAAATACTTTACTCTTCAGCAACCAATACTTTATCTCATGCTGAAGATATTCTCTGTTACAACTTGTTCCTACTCTCTAACAATCTACTACTATTCAGCCAAAGTAAAACTTTAGACTCTGTTTTAAACTATTTACAAAACCTCTTATTCTCTCAACCATTCAAAATATCTATCAATACACTCCAAACAGAAACTCATATTTATTGCAAGATAAATGAATCTACTCTACCAAACCATTATCTACTAATACTAAATAAATTTCATAAATTCTACAACCTACCTATTTGTACAATACTTAGATCTCCTCATATTGATTCAGATATCTTCTTATATCAGAACTACACTCCTAAATACACAAATACTTAAGCTATAAATTCTCCTACTGCAATCGACAAAACACAAGCCCTCTTACTAAAAATTCACTCTCTCAATACAAATAGCTTTCTAGAAAATTACAAACAACTAAGTCTAATTGATTACATCACAGAAAATCAAATAGATATTTTTGGTATCTCAGAAACTCACCTTAACTCAAAAGAATCAAAATTCTCAATATTATCAAAAGAGCTTACTAATTATCAAAAATTCTGGGTACCCTGTGAATATAAGCAAGAGGGTGTCAGAATTATAATCAATAATCAACTTGCTAAACATATTAGGAAAATCCAGACCTTCAAAAACTTCATCCTTGAAATAGATCTTTCCTTCAAAAATAACTATATTAAACTCATCCAAATATATTTTCTAACACAGGAAAAGAAACAATTATGTAAAGAAATCCTTACCTATCTTACTCTAATTATCAAATCAACAAACTACAAAATCATAATTATGGAAGACTTAAATGGTATACCAAACTCTAAACTGGATAGACTTCTAACTAAAAAATACAGTACTCCAGAAAACCAACTTCTTCAAATTCTTAAACATCACAAGTTCTATGATACTTTTCACTTATTTTACTCTACTACTCTAAAATTCACATACTCTCACAATAATAGCTCTAGTAGAATTGACTAAATATAAACAAATATTCATATCACTCTTCTTGACTATGCAGACATCTTTCCAAATCCATTCTCCAACTCAGACTACTCAACTATTATTCTTGAAACAACAATTATTATTAACAAACCTCTCATACCAAACCCCTATATAAGGACTGTTTTCAAATGAAACTTCACTCAAGCAATACAAATCGAAAAATATCAACAACATACAAAACAAAACCTTACTAGTCTCCTTACTTCTATAAACCAAATCTCAAATACCAATGACCTTTACAATATATGGTATCAAATCATAAAATATATCAACAAAGCAGCACTCAAACACATACCATTTAAAAAAATCAAAACAAATCCAGATTCAAATAATTGCTCAAAATCTACTTTATCACCTCTTTACAAACAACTAAAAAACATTTTCTTAATAAAAAATCTCTCTACTAACTCAGATATTACCTTACTTTATAACTCTTATATTAAAAAATACTCAAACAATACTCTTTTACCCAAATCATACCAACTCTTTCTAGAAGCAAATCCAAATCCAAACACCATTCCAATACTCCTTAAAAGTGAAATCAAAAACCTAAAAATTTTTATACAAAAAGAAAAAAAGGACTAAACCCTTCTAGAAATTTAAAACAAACTCAATGAAAGGAATACCAACTTTACTCAAAACCCAAAACTCTTCTTTTGCAAAACTCTTGAAAAATTCAATAACAGTATTAAATTAGATCATCTCCTATCTAATGACAATTTAACTACTCAACCAGCTGAAATTAAAACAGTTCTAAATGAACACTTCTTTAAATATTTTCAAGAACTTCCTTACTCTCTGATAGAATCAAACTTACCTTTCTTCAATATCTATAAACTACATCCTGAAAATGAACATCTCTTCCACAACCTCTTATCTGAAATTATATCTGAAGAATAATCAAAAATACTAAAAGAGCTTCCAAATAATAAAGCCACAGGACCATCTGAAACAAATTATGAACATATTAAAATGCTAAACTCCAAAGGCCAAAATATTATCTGCCTCTTCCGCTCAAAATGTTTTCTTCTACAAAGCACTCCAACAGAATGGAAAACATCAAATCTCTTCCTGATCTCAAAAAAATCCTCTAGAATTATACTCTCGATCAAGTTCGACCAATATCCTTAATTGAACCAATAAAAAATACCTAATTAAAATCTTCACTACTTGTCTCAACCAAATTATAAACAAATACCACTTGCTAAGTGATCTTAATTTTGTAGCAACAAAAAATACCTCAACACATACACCAATTCAAATCCTCTTTAATATTATTGAATACTACAAAGCAA